CTGTGAAAACGGGTAAGGTTTACTGTAACGTAATAATCTTTATCTTAGTTATCGTTACTTTTGCCCGAGCAACGCCGGGCCCACCTGCTAGTTAATTAATAAATCAGTTATTTCTATAGGAATCAAGAATGTTGCAGAGTTATTTATTTTTGCAAGAACTATTACCATGACATTTCGAGTTGCATTTTATGTTCTTTGGGGGAAATTTGTATTTTTTATCAACACTCAAATAAAAATGTAGATTGACGTTTAGCACTTTTATACGAAACAAAATCACCAAAGATGTATTTTTCTCCATACATTTTATCTCTCTGAAATTGTTTTACGTATGAAAATTAAATTTATAGGAAAACCTGTAGAACTAATGTTCGGCATTAAAAAGCCACAGTCAAATATTCTGAAAGCGACGATGCGAACTTCGCTTTGTGGGCTTTTTGAATTAGTCACGACAGGTTGTGGACTTTTTTTGTTTAATGAGCGTTTTCGTTCTTCCAGCCTAACAAATTCATTCTTACCATTATCCTGTCACATAAGATGCACAAAGAATTTTAAACATTACTTATTACTTGAGATATTTTCTAACAGTCGAAAAGTAAATTTTGTCAGTTATTAAATTGTAAAATCTTTTACTACGTCATTTACGGCAAATTGTTTTGATGAAGTGACATTTGTGCCTGAGGTTCGCGGAATGCATTCTTTTTTAAGCTGCTAACTTTCGGAAACCCTAAGCATACGCTTCTTGAACCTGCGGTCTTCTGCCACTGCTCAAAATTTTCTTGTTAAATATGGTAAATCATTTTTTTATGAAATTATGTGTATAATTTCATAACAATTGATATACTGTACTTAATTAAAGAGAAAATTTTTAGTTTATAGATAGGACTCAATTTATAATTTCAAGGTTTATAATTTAAGGTTTTATCGTTTAAATTTTGCATAATAAATCTTAGAGAATTAAGTTAATTAACAAATTTATCCAAAAACTTTCGTTTTTACTCTTTCGATAAAAACTACACTAAAGTTACATAATTAGTTTATTTAACAGTTTTTATTGAAAGACCTAGATAATTAATTATGTAAACCATTATACTAATAAAACTGATATGACTAAGCTACAAGGCTGTAACCTCGCATAGAATTGTTAGTAATTATTTAATTAAGACGTTATTTGACCTAGTAACTTTCTTATTTTATTCATCTTCCTACTTGAGAATATTTTAAATTTCTTCTATACAATTTTCATACTTATAAAAAAATCTTTACTTACTAATATGTAAAGAAGAAAGTCAGTTTAAATTGCAACATTCTTTTTAGAACCACGCTATTTTCTTTTAAATGAGATTGTTCAATAAATGTATTAAAATTATCTTGCTAGTGTTTATTAGTTAGTTCTTTAAAAATTTCAACACGGTTTGAAGAAATGCAATGAAATAGATACCATCCTCTCATTAAGAAAGAGGACAACGACTAATTTCTGTCGAATTAACTTCAACCACAGACTCACAACAGTCTCGCCTTTCTGTACGACCAGTAGAATAGTGGCATTTAAATAGTAAAGTTACTTAATACAAAGTAAATAGCGTGTACGACATATATTTTTTTATGTTTTGGATGGTGTCGAGTTTAAAAATATAGCCTTTTTTTGTGAAATTTCATTGATTGACCTATTACAGTTTTATATTCGGCTATTAATGGCGCGTTAGAGTTAACGTTAGAAAAACTTTGGATGCCTTTAATTATCTTATAAATAAATAAAGTGCTGTTAATTGTTTGCAATCGATGTAATTTTATTAATCAAAAATATAAATAAAAAATATAGGTTATATTAAATTTAAATTTATGTTCGACATTCTTTATTGAAGTATTACTTCAACGCAGGCCGAACGTTGGTGCCTCAAGCGCCACCGTATTTTTGTAGTAAAAAGAAAAAAAAATCTAATTTAAAATTTTGGAAACGAGAGTAGTTTTGTAAGGACCATTTTCTACAACTGTTTCATTCCCCATTAAACGTTTTATTTGCAATACCCGCAGTACTTTCATATTTTTACAGTCCATTAAAGATCGACAAATACTTATATCTGCAAATACTTAATAATTAATGTGATAAATTGCTAATATTATATTTAAACTATACAAATATGTTAACTTCTTTTTTTTTTAAATCACTTATATGAATACTTTGGATTTCTTTTAACTTTATACAAGAGAGAGACAAGCATGTCTGCTTACTCTATATTTAATTTATTTAAATTTACAATTTTAACTATGTTGGTTTTTTCTTTGGAACATAAATTTTCAATATCTAATTTCTTTAAGAATATAACAGAAAATTTCTACTCACTTTTCCTCAAGCGGTTTTTTCTCGGAATTTGAATTTTCCATATTTCTTCAACTGATTTAAACACTGTTTTAGTTTTAGCAAATTTTTATTTTTATAAATTTTATGTCTTTGCAACGCGAGTATTTTGATTGCATCTTTACCACAACTAAGAACGTCGCCATATCAATTACAACGTCCTTGGACGTATCAAAAGCTATCCTTCCGTGGGTGTTGTTAATGTTTATATTGTGTTATATACTGATATATTTTTTCCACTAGATTTGTTAATGTATTGTTAATTCAGTTACGAAATTTAACGAAAAATTTATAATAAAATCTCTTTGAAGTTTCTTTGTATACGATTTATTATCATTGTTTTATTTCTTAATTAATTATTGATATTTGATACAATTTTAATATTATTATTATGTATACAAAAGTTTTGAAGATTTTAAATGATTAAATATTTAGTCTTTTAGCGGTAAGAACTTGTGGTGCTATTGTATGCAAAAATACCCATTAATGAAAATGGATTAGCATTCTAATTTAATTTTACAAATGCTATATTCATAAATGTTTTAAAAATCCAGTCTTGCATTTTACATAATATGTTAATGTATAAACTCACGTTCAAAAAATAAATTACAGTAGACCCCCTATAAAACGAGTTCATATATTTCGGACTCCTATATCACGGCGAAAAAATTGCGACCGTATTCGTATAAACAGGCTAAAAAAATTCGTATAATTCGGTAAAACGTCATCGCCGACTCGTGTCGCGACATGATGGGTCGAATCTAGACCAATAGCGGATATTGCACAAACCGTTGAGTTTAAACGAGCAGCAGACCTACTAAAAACCATTTATTATTTAACGGCCATAAAAATTATATTTATATTAATGACATCTCCAAAGTTCAGCAAAGTTTTCGCAAAAAAAAAAAATAATTTATCAGGAAGCACGCGAGCGCCATTCGATACATCGCTCCACGACGAAAACAAACTTAAGCAATGGGGTCGTCGAACGGTGCACACTCGGTAAGTAATCCTACAAATTTTTGTTTATATCATAGTTTATATGGATTATTCCCAAAAAATTATACGTATTTTGGAAATGTTGAGTCGAATTAGTCTAGAATCGATTAATTTTATGGAAGAAAACCATTCAAACAGCCATAGTCCGTAAACTACATACGTGCCGGGCTGTGATTGGCTCATGTATTTAAGGACTCTAGAAAATGAATTTCATAAAAAGCGGAACGTATCTACTGTGTTACAGTGGGGTCGACTGTATTACAAAATGTAAAAAGTTTTATGTTGATCCGAACCGATGTGACTTTTTATGGAAACTCGTTCCTTATTTTTTATCTGTGATGAGGCCTTCATAACGCTTCCAAAATGTGAGGGCTGCGAGAAAGCCCTAGTAATGATGAGAGCCGAGTATTAAACACAAATTCATATATGTATTTATAAATTTCTATCCTTGTTAGCACTTTATGAATGCAATTTCTATTTTTACTGCAGATAAATAATACAAAGCACACAGCAAGCTTCACACTTTACTGAAAAAACGAAACTGTTCTATTGGAGCATTCAACAACTGTAGAGAAATGTTGATAGTGATGAAGACTTAGCATTTCGAAAATTCAAAGTTTCATTATCTCCTAATAGAGAGGTTGCGGCCGACGTTTTCAACGCGAAAAACGTGTACATTGGACATTCAGCACAGCCTTTCTGTAAGCCTAGAAGTTTGACAATGGCGTTTGGAACGTCAGTGGAATCATGTTCGACGTTCCAAACGCCATTGTCAAACTTCTAGGCTTACAGGAAGGTGGTGCTGAATGTCCAATGTACACGTTTTCGTGTTGAAAACGTCGGCCGCAACCTCTCTATTAGGAGATAATGAAACTTTGAATTTTCGAAATGCTAACTCTACATCATCATCAACATTTCTCTACAGTTGTTGAATGCTCCAATAGAACAGTTTCGTTTTTTCAGTAAAGTGTGAAGCTTGCTGTGTGCTTTGTATTATTTATCTGCAGTAAAAATAGAAATTGCATTCATAAAGTGCTAACAAGGATAGAAATTTATAAATACATATATGAATTTGTGTTTAATACTCGGCTCTCATCATTACTAGGGCTTTCTCGCAGCCCTCACATTTTGGAAGCGTTATGAAGGCCTCATCACAGATAAAAAATAAGGAACGAGTTTCCATAAAAAGTCACATCGGTTCGGATCAACATAAAACTTTTTACATTTTGTAATACAGTCGACCCCACTGTAACACAGTAGATACGTTCCGCTTTTTATGAAATTCATTTTCTAGAGTCCTTAAATACATGAGCCAATCACAGCCCGGCACGTATGTAGTTTACGGACTATGGCTGTTTGAATGGTTTTCTTCCATAAAATTAATCGATTCTAGACTAATTCGACTCAACATTTCCAAAATACGTATAATTTTTTGGGAATAATCCATATAAACTATGATATAAACAAAAATTTGTAGGATTACTTACCGAGTGTGCACCGTTCGACGACCCCATTGCTTAAGTTTGTTTTCGTCGTGGAGCGATGTATCGAATGGCGCTCGCGTGCTTCCTGATAAATTATTTNAAAACGTTATGTAAAAATACATGAAGTGATTATAAATACTAATGCAGTAAATTAACGATAACTATTTTATTCGTTTTCCGAATTTTGACGAACTGTACAATAAATACATTTCATCCCCATAATCGACATTTATTCTCGGGATTCATATAACTTTTCAAAGGACAGTTGAAAACTTCAGCAAAGTCTGGAGAATTCATTAAAGGAACCAGCACTCTAAAAAGAAAATTTTACGATATTAATAAATTAGTATTATATTTATTTTATATCCTTATCCACAGATGAAAGTCTCCGCTAAAAATTAAATAATTAACATTTCTGTTACTTTAAGCAATTTAATGCTTGCTGTTTGTCTCCTGGTTTTACTTTTGACCATAAAAAATTAACTTATTAAACTTACCGGTATTTTCCGGGACTATGCTGATCACGTTCGAAAGTTTTTTTCATGGATTCGATTGCCTCACACCAAAGCTACGCACAACATGAAATATTTATAAAATTTTGTATTTAGTATTAATATTATTTATAATTTGAATTTTGTTTTAATTATTATTGGAAAATTAAAATTCTAGTGTTTTCATTGGTATATACTTTTATTCCAGATGTTTATCAGAATAACGACAAGATTTATACTAAAAGAATACTAAAACAATATTAATTTAACAAAGCAGAGAGTTAGCGAAGTATCTTCTATATGGCTTTCTCCTCAAAATTTAATCGATCCATTTTGATAAAACTCTGCTATTTTTAATGTCACTTTGACCCCACTGTATCTCGAAAACGAAGTTATAGACCGATATTTTTTTTATTACAGTTTTGGATTTTTCATGTCAACTAATTCCGTTACGGACGATCAATGACGTCAAAGTGACAATGTTTGACGTCATTGATCGTCCCTAACAAAATTTACGAACTAAAATAAAAAATCACCATTGCCTGCACCTAACAAAAAATTTTTGCGAGAAACCGACAAAATACGTGAACAAAGCAATCGGCGTCAATTGCTTTCTTCTTGAATCGCCTCTCCGTGAGAGCGTGTAAAGATAGCATTTTTCGTATACGTCAAATGAAAGAATCACATTTCTTTCCGACTCCACATCAATTTTGTCATTATGTCCTATCTTTGTAAGCAAATTTCAAATGTATGGATTAACCTGAGCAAATCCGATGAAAAACATTTGTTTATTTGTAAAGTCGAGACCAGGAAGATGAGGTTCTTCTCCGTGGCGTTTAAGATATTTTTCGTAAGCCTGCATAATGAAGTAATACCAAAAATATTAGAAAGAAAATCTAAAAATCAAAAATCATAAATTGTAAATGATTATTACCCGGAAAGCAACAGTGACTCCACTGTTATCTGACAAGTTATCCCAAATTGTTCGATTTCCGTTAATCTGAAAACTATTTTATTTATTTCTTTTTGGAAACGAAAAAATAAATTTTTAAAATATATAATCGTTTAGGAAAACGTAGAATACCATAATTCGGTAAAACGTCATCGCCGACTCGTGTCGCGACATGATGGGTCGAATCTAGACCAATAGCGGATATTGCACAAACCGTTGAGTTTAAACGAGCAGCAGACCTACTAAAAACCATTTATTATTTAACGGCCATAAAAATTATATTTATATTAATGACATCTCCAAAGTTCAGCAAAGTTTTCGCAAAAAAAAAAAATAATTTATCAGGAAGCACGCGAGCGCCATTCGATACATCGCTCCACGACGAAAACAAACTTAAGCAATGGGGTCGTCGAACGGTGCACACTCGGTAAGTAATCCTACAAATTTTTGTTTATATCATAGTTTATATGGATTATTCCCAAAAAATTATACGTATTTTGGAAATGTTGAGTCGAATTAGTCTAGAATCGATTAATTTTATGGAAGAAAACCTTTCAAACAGCCGNCACGCTACACAAAAGCCTGGGAACATTACAATTGAGTAGAAATACATACATCACACTACAGAAGGCCACTATATTGAATACATGCCATATTGTTAGGAAATTCCTTAATACAGACACTGACACACACATTTAATTTTAGTTTTGTTTTGGTTGTTACGCCTTGACTCTGGTCCGGCATAGTACACAGCCACCGGTGTATACCGAGTATAACCCACTAAACCCAACACATAATAATAATAATGACATATTCTGCCAGAAACAATACAACATATAATCTCTGGGTGCATACTGTTAGCACAAACAGACTGTTTACATAGGCATAATCAAATAATAAATATAATACACCAAAAGTTTGCACACAAACACAGATTACTAAGTATTCAGGTACTGTACAGCAAACATACTCTAGAAGCAGTTTTAAAAAAGGACACAAAAAATATACTATGACAGAGCCATATCACAAATAAAACAATTTATCACAATCGACCTGACATCACTCTCATCGACAAATACAGTAAGATCGTTTATATCAACGGTCTCCAACTGATGGTCCGTGGAAAAATTTGGACATTGATCATGTCGTGGTGACGCGAAGTATTACGAAAGAAGTGCAAAATTCTTGGTTGATTTTTCTCAGTCATTGGGGATTTTTATTTAAATTTAAAACCAAACACGAAATGGATTGTTATCAATAAATAATGTTGTGAGTTCAATTGTAAAAAAGAGCCAAGAATTCATAAACTTATTTCAAACAAGCAGTAACTAATTCACTTGTTTAATTATAACACTAATTTGTTATAATTAAACAAGTGAATTTCATATTAATAAAGTAAAATGGAACTTTTATGATCATTATTCTATACTGTACACGTGTCGTTTAAAAAACTGAATGATAATGGTCCGTGGGATACAAAATTGTGAGTTTAGTTGTCCGTAAGATCAGAAAGGTTGCTATCAGATATAATAGACATATCTGTTTCCAAACTGTCATAACATTGAAAAAATCAACAGTACAGTACAGTACATTCCACTCGCTCAAGAAAGAAGACAGATGTGGCGAATGGATAAAGTATTTATTGTCCTGTTGTCCTCTCTTTTACTGTTGTTTTACCACGTACAGTACATTACACAAAAGTCTAGAAACATTAAACCTTAATAAAATCATATACATGGTGCAATATTGAACACACGTTACATTGTCAGAAAGTTTCTAGACATTCACCCATATTCAAATAACACAGAAGCTTAATGTAACACCTGTTTGGGTAGCTATTCATTGACATTATTCCGGCATAGCACTTGACACCAGTATCAGCTGACTGACATTCGCATCACAATAATAATAACTGATTGGATTACCGTTCAAAGAGACTAAAACGAATAGCATTTTGTTAAATATCTATCTTTGTGTTTTTGATTGATAAATAAACGCAGGAAGTTTGTATGTTTACTTCAATATAGGAAAAAAATCTTAACAATTGTGATATTCATAAATTTAATATTTAAATTTTCATAGTTTTAAGTTCATCCGAATTCCAAGAACTAAATTTGCTAACTTTTAATCTCTCTCTCTCTTTCTATTTTGAAGCTTTTCCCGCTAAAACTTTAATTACTCTCTATCTCATTAACAAACATGATATCAATGATGAATAACATATACCATAGCTCCTTTCTCATTTCATCCTGCAATAATTTACCTAGTATTAATTAATTAACTTTTCCCTAACTTTTGCCACAAAGCGATTACAGTGCTCGAAGTAGCAAAAATATTTATTATGCCAATTTCATAGGATTTCAGCTATTGGCAGCTGGGAGACAAGTACAGTATATCCATCGACTCTGCTATCACGTTTTAGCGGTAATTTATAGAACTCCAAAACGCCACTCGTAGTCTGTCGAAATCTCTGACAGAGCAAACCATGTGTAAAAGCAATAAATGCCGTGATCTGTGGCTCTTCGAATCGATTCTTTGTGGAAGTAGGCGATATACAACAAAATGTACACAGAAATGAAACCTGAGTAAACTGGAAAACTGGATGTAATGAAGTGACTAACATTTTAATAGAAACGGAAGAGCATAAGCGATATTATTGGATAGAATTATCGAGGATCAAATTCTTCGTAGTTCAAGACTGTAGTAATGAAGATTTCACCCTTTAAATTATTATCACCCAGCGAAAATCAGGAAGAGAAAATCATGATAATACAAATCTAGCTTCGTTGGATTACAAATATGGACTATACAGTCGATCCCCCTATAACGTGGGTTCATATAATGCGGATTCGTATATCGCGGCGAAAAAATTGTCACCCTATTCGTATAAAAACGCTAAAAGAGATTCGTAAAATCGATAAAACATCATCGCCGACTCGTGTCGCAATAGGATTTGTCGAATCTGGACCAATAGTGGACGAGCAGTCGAACTACTTACACGCTACGAAAAGTTTAGGCAGGTAAATCGAGTTTACTACCATCTGTACAGTACATAAATTAGGTACTGTAAGTCTAATACAGTACTGTAATTTTATGCATTTCTTGTGAAAAAAACATTTCTTATTCAACGGCCATAAAAATTATTTCTATTAATGATATCTCCAAAGTTCAACGAATTTTTTGCAGAAAAATAACTTATCAGAAAACACGCCCGCCGTTTGGGCGATGCTCCGTGACGAAAACAAGCTTGAGCAACGGCGTCATCGAACGGTGCACACTCGGTAAGTAATCCTACAATTTTTTGTTTATAGCATAGCTTATACAGATTATTCCCAAAAAATTATACGTGTTTTGGAACTGTTGAGTCAAATTAGTCTAGAATCGATTAATTTTATGGAAGAAAACCTTTCAAACAGCCGTAGTCCGTAAACTGCATACGTGCCGGGCTGTGATTGTCTCATGTATTTAAGGATTCATACAACGCGAAATTCGTAAAAAGTGGAACGTATTTACCGCGTTATAGGGGGTCGAATGTATATAATAATAAAATAGCAAAATAAATATCGATTGACATATAAAAACAAATAATAATAACATTATTGTATTGTTTTGAAATTACAATGATGCCTCATATTCGACTTTAATTCGTTTTAGGAGCCATTAGAACCCTGAATTGGTTAAAGTCAGAATCAGTTTTTCTAATTAGAAATAATGGAAAGTGAATTAATCCGTTCCTCAGATCCTAAACAGTACCCATTTCAATAAACTTAAAGAGTAAATGTCCTTACTTTAAGCTAAAAGAATTCACATTCATAACATTTATAAAATTAGATATTTATTTACTGTATTTACTTTCAAATCATTTAATTAATCAAACCTTTATTCTTTTAAACACACTTTAAAGATTCCTTTAAAGTACTGTAAATCTTACCTGCTGACATATCCAAATGATCGAATGCATGTGAATATTCATGACCAATAACAACAGCTATTCCTCCAAAATTAAGGTATCTATTATAATAGAAACGATAAAAATTTGTTAGTTATTTTAAAATTTTAGCATTTTAGTTATTTCTTTGATACTTACTGAGGTAATCCATAAGCATAGAAAGGAGGATACATCAATGCTAACGGTATTTCTAAATATATGTAAAATCTTAATAATACTTATACAAACATAATGTGAATTTATGTTGATTCAGAGACATTAACATTAAAACTAAAATCGTTAACACATACTTAAAATTAATTAGTTAATTATTTTAAATTAAGTACACACAAAAACTGGAAATTTAACATATTTGTATATATAATTATCATCATAACCCGCGATGACCGAAAATTGGAGCTGTCACCCTACGTACAGTACCGGTACTTGGAATCAAATAAGGACAGAAGAAACCCCAGGAATTTTACAGGGTTTTATCTGTCTCGGATATGGCGAGACCCTTCCTTTTCGTGTGAGTCCGTTCTGATACTAAGACGGCCTGAAAAGTGGCCGTTTTAGTATCACTGAGCGGAAAAAGTCCAAAGAAAAATTTATTGTTTTTTAACTAATAAATATAAAGAAAATTCGTACGTATTGTTATTTCCACTCCATCATAGCCTAAACTTGCACCAACCTCCATTGGGGCTATTTTTATTCTATATAGAAAAATATATAAATAAATAAATAAACCAATCACTTTATACAAACGAATAAAATTATATTAAATAAAATTTGCTTACTTTTCCCGAAAATAAAAAAGAACACTTTCATCAAACATTTCATTGGACGTCATTTCCTTTTTCACAGCTAAGATATTTTGAATATAATTATCTGTGATATTGATCTGGAAAAAGTAATAATTTTAATTTATTTTCGAATATTTATCATACTTTCATGTGCTGAGTATTGTTATCCTGTTGATTTAAAACTGTTTCAGCGATATTAAGTATATGAAGAAAACAATAAAAGATACAGTAGAGCGTCGTTTATCCGAAAGAATTCCAGTCGGCAAATTTAAATTTTCGCTAGTGCTGTGGCGCTGCAATCTTTGGCTATATCTTGGGCTACTTCAATATTTTTTATGTTTGTGTATGTGTTTTAGCTGGCAGCACTGTCACTTTTGTGTGGTGTTTTTCTGAGGACTGTGTGTAATGCTGAATCGAACGTCTTTAATACTAGATCAACTTCTAAAGTATAATTTTTTTTGTTTTTATATTTTTCAATATATTTATTTCGTTTGTAAAAAATAAAGAAATAATTTTGAACGATACAATAGCCAAGATTATTATTTTAAACAGTTTACATTAGACTTAACATCGACGAAAATTCAACGCGAAGCGACACGCAACGGAGAAAAATTTCAACACAGGATAGGTTAATGTATTTTTTCGTACATAATCGGTTATCCGAACATCCCCAGTCCTTAATTGATTCGGATAAACTACACTCTACTGTATTAAAGTCGATAGTCAAAACAGAAAACGTTAATAAATAAGCGTTAATTTCATTTTGTACTTGTTCAGTTACTCTTTAATCTGTTGTGTTGTTTTATTTTATATACTAATATTGTAAAAATTAATAAACAACGTTATGAAAAATAATGTATTTGTTTGTAATATTTATTCCTTTAAAAGGGTCTGAATACATAGATTGAAATATAGAAAAAGTAATTTAATTAAAAATATTTTAATGTACTATTCTGTTCTAACTGTTAGAGATATATAAGACACGAACCGGTATTTTACAAATAGTTATGCAACTACGAGTATTTGAAGTAAATTTATTTATTGTTAGGAATATTAAAATTTCATATGCTATTCACTTTAATAAATCAATTTATAACATCTTCTAAAGTATGTAGGATCCAAATAAAGTTCAAAACAATATTGCAATCTAAAATGCAGATTAACAAACCGATTATAAGAAGTAAAACAAACTTCATAGCAAGTGTGAGAGTCGAACTTTACAAAAATTTGGAAAAACCATTCTTTTTCGTCTTTCGAAAAATGTTTCTATTTTTTATTACCGGAGAATGATCGCATCTCTCTCTCTGGAGTCGTTTTCTTTTCCTGGGAACTCATCGAATGTGTCACTGGAAACTAATAGAAAAGACTCACGATTGGTGGAAAAGGATAAAATTGGTGATTTGGAGGTATAAAAAGGAGTGATTCAAAGACAAGTGGTCGTCGAGAGTTTACGAGAGCGTCAACGAGGTGAACAGAAAGAGAGGTATCTTCGTCAGGCTATCAATAATTTTTACCCCGTGTTTTGTTAGAACACCGTCGAACTCCCCGGATTATATTCTCCAGTGCTCTATCGGTTTGACCGCCGTCCAAGCAAAACGAAAATATAACGCCTCCCAACTGCTAGAGCCGACCGAACTGAAAGAAGTTCCCGGCGACCGACCGATCGAAGTTCATCGATCTGAATGTCCACACAATTAAGTGCATCACAGGAATGTATACCAATTCGCGGTTTCTTGTAAACTCTCTCTCGACCGTAATTCGATATATGAAGCTATGTATTCTTTTTAGTTCAATCAAATCGGTTATTTTAGTTGTTAACCTGAGTGATTCAGTTCCGAGCCGGCTCTCAATCCTCCGAATTCGATCATCCGCCCACGTGACCGCTCACGCGAATTCCGAATTTGAGACCGTTAAGGTTTCTGTGTCTATCCTAGAAGACACGATGGTGTCAGTCCTGACGAGGCACTAAAGAAATGCCGACCTTCTGGTCACACAAGAATAACTATAGAAAATAAACTATAAACATGATTATATGAATTCTTTATCAAGAAAAATAACAGTAAATTCATTCTCTTTACTATTCTTATTCAATTATCATTTACTTTTTAAAGTTTTGATATTTTCGGCAGAGTCGATCATAGAATTTCAATTCCGCCGTAGGTTCTTATTCGCCTCAATATTTAAAACACACAAAATAAATTTTCTTCGGTGACGACAGAATCATTTAGAATAAAATTATATAATTTATTCTAAATAATTAAAACATTCTTTGTAATTTATACTTTTTTAAATAAAGCCTGGACTCCACATTACCGGAATCCGCGACGTAATCGTAAAACTGAAAGCCAAACTGACGAAACTTTCAGTTTTGTAACGTTCAGTTGGACAGAAACAAGATTGAAAGCAGAGTTAAAAATTATTTAACTTTTCCGTTTTCGTCCCGCGCTTCTGTCTTACTGCAACCAATAAAAACGCAAGGATTTGTGATGCGTAGTCACGTGCATTAGTCACATGTAGTTTGATTATCGTAATGGCGGAAAGTGTAGCGAAAACGATGAGGAAACAAATAGATTTGGAATTCTTCATCGAAGAAGTTATAAAATGCGACAAAAAATGTAAATAATTCAAAGATTATTAACAATGAAATTGTTAATAAATGCAGAGAAAGCACGGCAAAATCCGTAGCGTCGTCCATGTTTGACTCTACGACAATTACAGAACTAATCAACGGATGGCGCAATTTCTAGTGGAGTCAAGTTAAAACGAAAACATAACTGAAACGAAAACTCTATATGTTTCAGTTCTGTTTGTGAGTTTTTGTTTTCAGGTAATGTGGAGTCCAGGCTTAACTGCTACTTATTCTATATTAATAATATGATAATGGATTTTTCAATATACAATTTTAAATTACAATACTGAATCAATTTTTTAATCATCTAATATTTTTTAAAATTAATATTTTAAACAGATTAGTTTTTACTTACATTATTAAACATCGTATTTAAAAATTCTGCATTAAGAGAACCATTTTCGTATCCTATATGCTGTCCGATTTTCTTCAACTACATTAAAATAAAAAATTATATAAAAATTTTTAATACAGTAATTATACCTAAATTGTTTTAAACCTAAATAAATATCATATTTTAATTCGACTTGAAATACGTTAGAAATTTTAAATTAAATTAAATAATATTTAAATATTCTTACATGTACAATTGCACGAATTCTACAATATACTGACAAAGTTTAAATTATATATTGTGTGATTCTTATAATTATTTTTTGCATTTTTTTAGCAATATTTTGCTTTTCAGATGAGAATACTTCTTTTAATGCAGTGTTTAATATAAATTAATGCTAACAATAATGTTATGTAAATTTTCAGTTAAAAAAAATATTATATTGGAACGTAGTGTTTTAACGAATATGAAAAAAATTTTCAGTTAAAAAAAATATTATATTGGAACGTAGTGTTTTAACGAATATGAAAAAAATTTTCAGTTAAAAAAAATATTATATTGGAACGTAGTGTTTTAACGAATATGAAAAAAACATACTCAATTATAATAATTATTTTAATTATACGTTGTTAGAACAATATGATGCATGTATTAAAAAAAGATGTTCTTAATATGCAGTTATAATAATCAGCATTTCACTTCAGATCTGTTTAAATCTCTTGTATTTAAATATCCAATGTGTTTGTGATATATGTTCATATTTTAAATTTTGAATTATCAAGAATAAGTGTTTTTATTTGTATAAATTTCAGAGTCTTGTTATGCGGAGAAATATACTTAGAAATGAAAAGAAAATGCAGAAAAATTTAATAAGAAAAGTAAAGAATAATTTACAGGAAAATCTTTTACATTTAGTACTTAAGCAGACCTGCCAGTAATCTGAAGAAATATCAGAAAAACAAAAGAGAAAAAAAATTTATTTAAGAGTGTTATCATAAGTCAAATTACTGCATTGTATTCTGACTTTTTTATAAGTGTATAACTTTGAATAAAATAGGAAACCAAATTTACTTTCTTTCCTAAAACTTTTGATAAAAAAGAGATAATCATACTTAAAATTACAATTTATTTATTATTATAAACCAGGAATTAAATTGAAAATCGCTATGATAGACTATTTATACAATAGATTTTATTCACTTAAAATACATATATCTAATTTTTTAAATGACACATGGAAAGCTAATTAAATAATTATCATTACAATACTGAATAAAAAAAGTGAGTCCAAAGATCATGATACAAAAATTAAAATGTGGAATATAATTGTAACTGAAATTAACTCAATTGCTAACATCTACAGTAGATTGGCATGGCGTATGATACCAAACGAGAATTTGATACTGACTTATAGCCGAAATAAACAAAAACAAAAATCATGTGGAAGAAGGAAGTAACTTGGCAATATTTTAGCAAAGTACATAAAATATTAGGAGCAAATCTTCAGTATATCCTCCTTCTAAAAACGTATTCTTCCTCAAAATTAAATAATTTAAATGCCACGGAATAAGAAACATCCACAATTCATCTGTAGATGTTTTCCCCATGCCTAATGGGAATATCTTACAAGTTCAAAATAAAAATAAAAAATTAAAAGAGAAAACCAAGTAATAAAAACCTGTCTGCTTTTCGGAATATTTAGAATATATACGGTAATAAAAAAATTGGAAGTAAGAAAGATGGAAGTGAAAACTTCAAACTTCGAAACATTTATATCATGCACCCAGCGTCTCTAGTTTTAACATAATTAAAGTTATAATAACAAAAGGAGAGACGAGTTGTTCATTTGTTTAGCTATCTCAATTTCAATAAAAAGCTATAAATTATAGCTTTGGTATGTGGGGATATACATTTCTATCGTTGCCACGATATCGTGAAGGAATTATAGTCGTGCGCCAACCTTAAAGCAGATGCACTCGAGAGATAAAATTGAGACGACAATGAGAGTTCAGGATAGCGTATTATAGTCTATATTATGTTAGGAGTAATGTAATTCTGCTTAAAAACATGATAAAGTACAGGTAACAGCATTTCTCACTTATTAAAAACATTAAATAAAAATTAAAATTTTACTTTAATTCTGGTGAGATTTTTGCTGTAGCTATCGAACCAGTCTTCTTCCGAAAAAATTTCATCCAGTGTTTCACGTATTTGTTTGGAATAACTTTTCACCTAAAAATATATAATAATTAATATAGTTTAGAAACCTACTTGATTAGTGTAACACTATAAAAATTAAAATACTGTAATGATATACCTCATTAATGTCGTCTTTTCGATTCATGGATTTTAACATTATGTAATCTAATCCTAATTCAGTATACGTGTCCATATCTTGAATGCAAGTTTTCCATTTCAGTTTATTCATATCCGAAAATGAACGATAAATTTTGTCGTACAAATACAATGATTCTTTTGTATCGACCGCAAGTTGTCTAAAACCGTTGTGAATGCGAGGTAAATAACGAACAATAATATTCCATACTTGGTAATTATAAATTATTCTGTTTAGAAAAATTAATATCAATAAATGTTTAAATTATTTACTTGGATATAAAATAAATTTTATTGTAGTTAATTGAATTTTCTACAAGTTTTTAAGATTAAAAATGATAAATTAATTTTTAATTCAAAACCAAATAATTGAACAGTGACGAGTGCTCTTATTGATATAAGTGATCAACCTGCAAATAGTTGTAATTTGTAAACGCTTTCTTTAACCTGTTTTGTATGGTTTTTAAATCTTGCCTCTAAACTTTCATCTTCATCTCTTAATTAGAAGTGGATGAAATTTGGGATGCAAGATCTTTTAAGATCTTTAGAATCTTTAGATCTTAAAAAGTCTGAAACTTTGATAACATACCTAAGTGTGATGAAAATGCATTTTAATGCGCAAGCAGCAAATAACAAAAGACAACGGCAGTACACTAAGTGTTTTATGGGGAGAAGAAAGCGAAAAGGAAAGGGGGAGAGGTGATAGAAAGAAGGAAATGGAAGAGTCCCACTGAACAGAGAATGTAAGGTTACTACTCCCACTACGTTTTAAGTTGGCGTGCAATTTTCAGGCTGCAAGGCCGTAGATCTAAAACCCAAGTTGTAGCTTACGCACATAAGTAGTGAGGCTACATATAAACAAGTCATAGTAAAGATTAAGGCTTAAAACTAGAATGAAGGCTTAATCTAATACTAAAATTAATACAGAACCTAAGCTAGCAAACCTATAGGAAGCAGAATAACATAAGGACTATAACAAACATCTAAAAACCTGATAACTTATATCTAACTTAACTTAAAATTATTTTATAGCTACCTTAAATCTACTTTTAGACATGTTACATTTTATTTTTATTCAGGATCGTGTGATCAATAGACGATCTTTACATCTTGGCAGTCAATCCCAAAATTTGAAGTCTGCGAGAATGGCCTAGTAGTGATAAAAGCTGATCATTAGGTTAAGCATTTGAGTGAATAGATGACTGAGGCAGGAAAATGCCCCAGCATACTTACTATTCATATCCAAAATAAACGAGCAATTATTTATTGTGACATCGTCACAATGCCGGGATGCAATTTGTATTCATATTTTTATAACTAATTTAATTCAAATTATATGTACTCGATGTTAGAAGCTTTTGTTTCTGATATCATACTTTTCCTGTTAGCAATAGAGTCATGCCGGTTATGTATCTAATTCCGTTCGGGGAAAAATTTTCGAATTGAAATAACGTGACTTTCGGTTCAAATCAGGAGCTCGTATATAGTTAATCGGGGTTTACGGCTTTTAAGCTGTTCATGTCTGGTTTTGACTTTCATCTATTCTTCCTTAAATGTCGATGTCAGAGCTAAAACAGATAGAACAAACCGATGCTATTGGAAATTTATAGGTTTGTAATATGAAAATTTAAAGTATTTATATATGTCAGCGTCTGTCCTTTATTTATTTAGAAATCGACGTTTTTTATAGATCTGGCTAATACGCTGATGCCAAAATTATTCAGGACTGAGTAATAATCTGGGTTGGAATTTTGTACCCGGTCTGTCCTTGACAAGTCGAGCCTAATTGCTATCATGCCACTTTCCAATTGTGGGCTTGGTTAAACCTTGATGGGCGTGTAAAGGGGCCATTTAGTGTGAACAAGGAGGAAAAAGATCTAAACTAAAAAAAATCCATAATTGACGTGGAAAAAAATACATTAGGGCTTGCAGAATATAAAAAAAATTAAGTATACATTATTTAATAATGACGCCTATATAAAGAAAAGTTTTAATATTAGTATAAATTATTATGTTTTATATTTTTCAAACTACGAATATAAATTTTTAATTATCATATTGCTTATTAAACTAAAACAAAAAATATATAACCTTTCAGTATACACGATGAACCAAAAATTTGGATTCGTCGGAATCTCTACGTAATTCTTACATTCGTTTTGATACTTTTTCAGCACTAACCCAGCGAACTTTAAAGTAGACTACGTTTTCACAGCTGGGAGTTTAAATCTGACCGGAATACTTGAACATCCTTGGATTCAGGGGTCTCAATGCCGACTGGCTACGATTACGACCTCTGGGCAGATTAAAATTTACTATTTTGATTACTGTTTTTACATCATTCTTCATAAATTGGCATCATTCTTCACTTTTGCGAAAAAAGGAACTTTTGCTGGCTTATCATTTGCGTTATAATTCTTGACTTTATTCCTTCTAATTAGTCTAGTTCAACTCGCTGTATTTATGAGCATACTTTGTTTCGCAATGTCTCTTCACATACTTTCATTACACCACTAGTTTCTTTGCAAACTTAAGCTTAATTCTTTGCCGTTATACTGTATAAAAAGTAAGCATCACTATTTTTTCTGGAATATGCGACATTCGTCACTGACTTTACATTTTTGGATGATATAACGGTAACAGTTTTCAAATAAACTATTCAGAAAAGTCTAACGATAATCAAATAGTGAACAAATGATTTTTTCGGCTTCTCGTCTGACAACCATGTTGCGCATGGTTTCAAGACGAGAAGCCGAAAACATCTCCACCTATTCCAATAAAAATCGCGAGACCTACGAATAAGATTTTGAACTTGCGCCATTTAGTAGATTCAAATTTCTACTTCTTTGTCCAAAAAATAAAATAAAATAATATCGCGAGATTTGTGGTCTTTCATGAGATCCACGGGAGTAGCCCTGCCCTGTTCGTGGAATTGTATAGTTTTAGGGAGTATAGTGTGGAGGCTCGCCTACCCGGGCGCTGAGGTTCGAGCGATAGCGAGCACCGAAGCGCACGTATTCATGTGGAGCCTTGATGAAACGGAGTATGCAGATTCTCAAGCAGTAGTATGGTTCAACGTAAAAAGCAAAAGTGATTGTGTTTATTATTTGTTATAGGTACTGACCACCGTGCCTATAAGATAAGTCGTTTGCGAGCATGACGCCGTAAGCAAGATGGCGACCGAAACTGCCGCCATTGGGTTCCACATTTGAAGACGAATATAACTTAAGGCGTCGGTTGTCAGACTTTTCTTTATTCTTTACGAATAAATATCGATGGAATGTCTGATCATCGTGCTGTACTGACTATTAAACACGCCATAAGCTTAGCATAGCACGCTGCGACTCCTATAGCACTCGGAAGCAGGCTTTAGGCTGATTTCGGAGGGCTATATCTCGCGAAAGGGTCACATTTAGTTCCTTTGACTTTTTGCTACGGACATGCTCTTCGGCTCTGTAAAGATCCCAACAGCATCATCCACATCTGCAATCTTACCATATATTTTTTGATTCGGATGTCAATTTTATACTTGAAGTAGAAGTGATAGTCGGATCTTAACCTGAAAGCATTAGTTCAATGAACAAATATCATAGATTGTTGATTAATGACAAATTTTATTCTTTTAATATTACTTTTTTATTTTGCCGGGTTCCAAATAATGACATCAACGGCTGCATATTGTGCACAACATAAAGTCTAAAGTAGGCTCATTACTTTTATAATCGATGATAACTGTAAATTGCACTACTATATTTCTATGAAGTTTTTAAATACATTTATAGCGAAATAATCAACATTATAAGATATATTTCGTTAAAACGATAAATATTTTGAATGTGACATTTCAATAAAATAGCTATTTATATGTATATGTTATAAACAAAGTGATTAATCGGGAATTATTCATAATGACCGGGCATTATGAATAATGATCAAATAGGGCGGGCAGTGTGATAAAAATTGATTCATTTATCAAATTGACCGGTCATTATGAATACTGCTATCACCTAGTCGGGCAAAGTCATAATAATAAGTTGAGGAGTGATCATCTGACATACGCTAGCCAATCAGCACGCTGAGTTGCGTGTGCGTATCGTACAGCGTTTAGTACAGAATTTTAAATTTGATTAAAAAAACTCCACTTATTTCATTTATAAATATTTATTTTTTGTAAATTATATCAAAGTACTATTAACTATATTAATTAAACTAATATTAACGAAAAGTATTATTAACAATTTTTGGTATAAATTATATAAAAAATTAAATGCTTTTTAGTTTATTTATTTGAGCAATTAACATTTTCATGACATTTGGAATTACATAATTTTTTTTTCTTTGGTAGCATTTGCATCTATTAGATTTTCAACCAATTTTTCAGCAGCATTAACTATAGTTGTGGCCATCAGGAATTGATGACATTCTTGCACATTCTCTAAGCGAAATTTCTGCACCCGGTACATCTCCAACAGAAATAAAGTTTTCTTTACAAACAGTAAATTGGTTTCTGGAATATAATAGATTTAATATGCCATGTTTGGTACCCAGTTTGTAAAGGTTTTTATCTTTAACCGCAACAACGACACCTAAAATATTTTTTCCATCACTGCGGGCTCGATCTACATCAGGTACACGAATCCTTACTGTATCACCAACAATAGCTGCTGTGTATTTGGAATTTGATGTATTAATCATTTTTTCTGCTTGCTTTTTAAGATTAAACAAAGCCCTTGTTTTAGACACACTTCTTATTTTTTTTTCTATTTTTGGATCAATTGTTTGGATTGTTTCTTCTTCATTCACCAATTCTGTAATACTAATAACATCCTGGTTTAGATTTTTTTCACATGAAGACGATGTAGATCTTTGAACTTCATCAGTTATATTGCTATGTAAGGGTAGCGTTATCAAATAATATTTCATAATGTTTTCTTGGACGGTACCTGGACTTTCAGAGTTTGAGCAACTTTGACTTACTTCGTTGATAGTTTTAAAAAATCTCTGTAGATCCTCTTCTGTATTAACGTTAAACAACGATTCGTTGGGTATAAAATTCCTTCGTCCAACTTTTAACTTTGCTCCAAACATGGCCTCTTAGGGACTGCAGTTTATACCAGTATGATGCGCTCGATTTTTCATCAGTAGTACAAAACGTAATCCTTCCGACCATTTGTTAGTATTGTTAATCTCCAACCAAGGACTAAGCATATTTTCTATGTCTTGATTACATCTTTCTACTGAACCCTGACTTTGTGACTGTGTCTGGGCTTTCCATGCACCATTTTTAACTCGGACCACATATTACACATTTCTTTGATGATATTATTGGCGAATTCTCTGCCATTATCGCTTTGTAGAGAACTCGGTGCACCAAAAATTGTAAAAATATCTAAAAGAACGTATGCTATTTCTTCTGCCCTTTTGGTTTTTAACTAGTTTAATCGGTTGTTGAAGCGATTATTCATATCACTTAAAGATTCCTCCATGATCGTTACTTTTGTCAAAGAAGAAAGATTACTATGTAACTACTGGTCACACAAATTTAAAATTCAGTACTAAATGCAATACGCGTGAGCAAGTAAGATGTAAGTTCTGATTGGCTAACGTATGTCGGATGATCACTCCTCAACGTATTATTATCACTTTGCCCGACTAGGTGGTAGCAGTATTCATAATGACCGGTCAATTTGATAAATTATTGAAATTTATTACAATGCCCGATTTTGTTGGTCATTATTCATAATGCCCGTATTAATCACTTTGTCCATAACATATACATCTCTAGTTTTACGATTTCTTAATACAAAATATATTTTATTTTATTCTTACTATGATATACTGTATTTTAAATGAATTTGATAATCATTGACTACAGAATACATTACTTATAGCTGCTATGATTCTTCATATTATGAATTGATTTAAGTAAAATACGAAATTTCTTAACTTTACTTTTTTCTATCGCCGTTCTTCTTCCTTGATTTATTACCACTCAACAAGTGTTAAACTGACAAGCAATAACACTTTGAATTTTTTACTAGCCGTAGCTAATAGATGTGCCTCCGGAAGATACTTGATTTCTATACTTTTGATAATGAACGCAAATTACTTTATCGTAAGCAGTGTCAATATACGACGGCGTTCCTCGTGAATTCCAGATAAGACAAGTTGTAAAATTGTCCAGTTACAATGACAAATATGACTAGACTCAGTATTACATATTTTAATCAATTAGGGGCTATAGTATGGGCCCGCTGGATAAGGGATGAGAAATGAGTTCTAATTCGAATTACAGTACTGTACTTACAAAATTCAAAATTTTCGTATCGAATTCGAAATCAGACACACTGAGAATGATAATAAGGATTTATTTGCACACAACAATATTTGTGTCGATTAGTTTGAAATTATTGCATAATAATAAATGTTCTCACCTTTTATTTTTAGTGTTTCCAACAAGTTCACATAGATCAGTCAGAAAGTCCATGCTGTTTACTTCTAAAGGAATTTCATCATCATATTTTTCAGAATGTTGAAGATATTCAAATAAAAACATAAACAGATTTTTCCAATCAATCTGAAATTAAACTATATAATATATAACTACGATTAATAAGCATAAAGCTATTGCTATTTATAAATATGTTGTTGTACCTGTGAGCAGTTCGAATGTAATTCTGATATAGTTGTATTTGTTGAATTATCATTATAATCTTTATCTAGAATCTACACAGAATTTAAAATTATTTTTAAGTATGGATTCTATTTTTAAGTTAATTAACAAATATCAATATTTCTATTTACTTTTGCTAAAGATGTTTGAAAGTCGATTATTTCATCAATATGCTGGTTCTTATTTTCTGTTGACCAATCTAATTCAGAAAGTACGTAGTCTATCAAATTTATATATTTCTTTTTTAACTTAATCCACTTTTCTTCAGTCGTATTCAATAACATAGTTGTCTTAACTAAATCAGATCCACGGCGTATCTAGAAATGAATGAAATGTTTACAATATTATATAAATTACATTGCATAAATCAGTATAGTGCCAATTATTTATAAATATGAAATTGTATATTAATTTAATTTTTTATTTTATAAATTTAATTAATCTTGGATCTTGGGAAGAAAACAAGACAACGTATCAGAAACATAATTTTATGATAGCGGCAAACAGGAAAGTTTATAAAAGTGTAGCTGTTTTCCTTACTCTCGTTTCAATTCTGAGAATCATTAACTTATTAATGGAGGGTTTGTGCATTGGTAATTTGGTAAAATGTTTCGTTGTAACCTTACGAACAGTTGTAACGTTATAAGAAGTATAAGCGAAGTCTCCCATTATATAAATAATCTTTCGTTATATAATAATGTAATAACGGTAGTCAATCAAAGTAGTTCTTTGCTAATAAGGGATCAATACTATAAATCAAAAGTTTGTTATTACTTTCTCAAACAATATGACAATAAGTTTCGTTTTCCTGGCGGTAAAATCTGAAAACAATGTATGATTTATTCAATAACGTTTACAAAGGCTGAAAGTTAACAATGAAAGAATGTTCACTTTGTATTTTATTGAGATACTTCAAGATAAGAAATAAACTATATAAAATTTGGTATTTAATTAAATGGATAGAGGCTGTTATATATTGGATTCAAACTTTGTAATTTTAGATTCAAACTTTGCATTCATTCATTTATTCATTCATTTCATTTTATTAAAATAACATAAGTTACATTTCCTGATTTCGCTGAGCATTATCAGGATTTAAAAACACTAACTAATTATGACAATGAACACAGCATATTAATAAACATTAAGAGTAAAATTGTACAATGATGTGAGAACAACAAGGATATTATACAGGCGTAATATATATTTATACAAGTAAAATTTTATGAATTAGATTTTCAATCAATTTTTCAGTAGCATTAACTACAGTTGTGGCCTTCAGAAATTGATGACATTCTTGCACATTCTTTAAGCGAAATTTCTGCACCCGGTACATCTCCAACAGAAATGAAGTTTTCTTTACAAACAGTAAATTGGTTTTTGGAATATAATAGATTTAATATGCCATGTTTGGTACCCAGTTTGTAAAGTTTGTAAAGTTTGTAAAGTTTGTTATCTTTAACCGCAACGACATCTAAAATATTTTTTCCATCACTACGGGCTCGATCTACACCAGGTACACGAATCCTTACTGTATCACCAACAATAGCTGCTGTGTATTTGGAATTTGATGTATTAATCATTTTTTCTGCTTGCTTTTAAGATTAAACAAAGCCCTTGTTTTAGACATACTTCTTATTTTTTTTTCTATTTTTGGATCAATTGTTTGGATTGTTTCTTCTTCATTCACCAATTCTGTAATACTAATAACATCCTGGTTTAGATTTTTTTCACATGAAGACGATGTAGATCTTTGAACTTCATCAGTTATATTGCTATGTAAGGGTAGCGTTATCAAATAATATTTCATAATGTTTTCTTGGACGGTACCTGGACTTTCAGAGTTTGAGCAACTTTGACTTACTTCGTTGATAGTTTTAAAAAATCTCTGTAGATCCTCTTCTGTATTAACGTTAAACAACGATTCGTTGGGTATAAAATTCCTTCGTCCAACTTTTAACTTTGCTCCAAACATGGCCTCTTAGGGCTGCAGTTTATACCAGTATGATGCGCTCGATTTTTCATCAGTAGTACAAAACGTAATCCTTCCGACCATTTGTTAGTATTGTTAATCTCCAACCAAGGACTAAGCATATTTTCTATGTCTTGATTACATCTTTCTACTGAACCCTGACTTTGTGACTGTGTCTGGGCTTTCCATGCACCATTTTTAACTCGGACCACATATTACACATTTCTTTGATGATATTATTGGCGAATTCTCTGCCATTATCGCTTTGTAGAGAACTCGGTGCACCAAAAATTGTAAAAATATCTAAAAGAACGTATGCTATTTCTTCTGCCCTTTTGGTTTTTAACTAGTTTAATCGGTTGTTGAAGCGATTATTCATATCACTTAAAGATTCCTCCATGATCGTTACTTTTGTCAAAGAAGAAAGATTACTATGTAACTACTGGTCACACAAATTTAAAATTCAGTACTAAATGCAATACGCGTGAGCAAGTAAGATGTAAGTTCTGATTGGCTAACGTATGTCGGATGATCACTCCTCAACGTATTATTATCACTTTGCCCGACTAGGTGGTAGCAGTATTCATAATGACCGGTCAATTTGATAAATTATTGAAATTTATTACAATGCCCGATTTTGTTGGTCATTATTCATAATGCCCGTATTAATCACTTTGTCCATAACATATACATCTCTAGTTTTACGATTTCTTAATACAAAATATATTTTATTTTATTCTTACTATGATATACTGTATTTTAAATGAATTTGATAATCATTGACTACAGAATACATTACTTATAGCTGCTATGATTCTTCATATTATGAATTGATTTAAGTAAAATACGAAATTTCTTAACTTTACTTTTTTCTATCGCCGTTCTTCTTCCTTGATTTATTACCACTCAACAAGTGTTAAACTGACAAGCAATAACACTTTGAATTTTTTACTAGCCGTAGCTAATAGATGTGCCTCCGGAAGATACTTGATTTCTATACTTTTGATAATGAACGCAAATTACTTTATCGTAAGCAGTGTCAATATACGACGGCGTTCCTCGTGAATTCCAGATAAGACAAGTTGTAAAATTGTCCAGTTACAATGACAAATATGACTAGACTCAGTATTACATATTTTAATCAATTAGGGGCTATAGTATGGGCCCGCTGGATAAGGGATGAGAAATGAGTTCTAATTCGAATTACAGTACTGTACTTACAAAATTCAAAATTTTCGTATCGAATTCGAAATCAGACACACTGAGAATGATAATAAGGATTTATTTGCACACAACAATATTTGTGTCGATTAGTTTGAAATTATTGCATAATAATAAATGTTCTCACCTTTTATTTTTAGTGTTTCCAACAAGTTCACATAGATCAGTCAGAAAGTCCATGCTGTTTACTTCTAAAGGAATTTCATCATCATATTTTTCAGAATGTTGAAGATATTCAAATAAAAACATAAACAGATTTTTCCAATCAATCTGAAATTAAACTATATAATATATAACTACGATTAATAAGCATAAAGCTATTGCTATTTATAAATATGTTGTTGTACCTGTGAGCAGTTCGAATGTAATTCTGATATAGTTGTATTTGTTGAATTATCATTATAATCTTTATCTAGAATCTACACAGAATTTAAAATTATTTTTAAGTATGGATTCTATTTTTAAGTTAATTAACAAATATCAATATTTCTATTTACTTTTGCTAAAGATGTTTGAAAGTCGATTATTTCATCAATATGCTGGTTCTTATTTTCTGTTGACCAATCTAATTCAGAAAGTACGTAGTCTATCAAATTTATATATTTCTTTTTTAACTTAATCCACTTTTCTTCAGTCGTATTCAATAACATAGTTGTCTTAACTAAATCAGATCCACGGCGTATCTAGAAATGAATGAAATGTTTACAATATTATATAAATTACATTGCATAAATCAGTATAGTGCCAATTATTTATAAATATGAAATTGTATATTAATTTAATTTTTTATTTTATAAATTTAATTAATCTTGGATCTTGGGAAGAAAACAAGACAACGTATCAGAAACATAATTTTATGATAGCGGCAAACAGGAAAGTTTATAAAAGTGTAGCTGTTTTCCTTACTCTCGTTTCAATTCTGAGAATCATTAACTTATTAATGGAGGGTTTGTGCATTGGTAATTTGGTAAAATGTTTCGTTGTAACCTTACGAACAGTTGTAACGTTATAAGAAGTATAAGCGAAGTCTCCCATTATATAAATAATCTTTCGTTATATAATAATGTAATAACGGTAGTCAATCAAAGTAGTTCTTTGCTAATAAGGGATCAATACTATAAATCAAAAGTTTGTTATTACTTTCTCAAACAATATGACAATAAGTTTCGTTTTCCTGGCGGTAAAATCTGAAAACAATGTATGATTTATTCAATAACGTTTACAAAGGCTGAAAGTTAACAATGAAAGAATGTTCACTTTGTATTTTATTGAGATACTTCAAGATAAGAAATAAACTATATAAAATTTGGTATTTAATTAAATGGATAGAGGCTGTTATATATTGGATTCAAACTTTGTAATTTTAGATTCAAACTTTGCATTCATTCATTTATTCATTCATTTCATTTTATTAAAATAACATAAGTTACATTTCCTGATTTCGCTGAGCATTATCAGGATTTAAAAACACTAACTAATTATGACAATGAACACAGCATATTAATAAACATTAAGAGTAAAATTGTACAATGATGTGAGAACAACAAGGATATTATACAGGCGTAATATATATTTATACAAGTAAAATTTTATGAAAAAATAAGATAGTGTAAAATATACAGTAACAATTAAAAGTAACGAAGATAAAATAAAATTAGAATCACAACAATTAAGCGCAAGTTAACAAATTATAAAAGAAGCGAACAGTAGAAGTGCAAAGATATCATAGATGATACATATCATGTAGAAATGAGTATATATACAAACTATAATATATAATAATAAGACAGTATAGTGTAAAGAAGTAATAATCATTTGCACCAAAGTACTTATGTTTCGGCCACAAGAAAATCCGCTAGTAGTTGAGCAATGGAAGTTGAACAATGTTCTCAACACCACTGAACTCCGCCAAGCATCTGTGCGTAATATTCCGATATAGTAAGAGCCACCAGAAGTTGAAAGATTATCTTCACGCTGCATCATTTACATTCACTGGAAGTTGAAGAAACTTCGTCCACACCACAATTATTTCAATAGCAAGGAAACCACTAGACCAGGGGTCGGCAACCTTTTGAGTCGGAAGAGCCAAAAATTATAATTTACAAAATTTCAAAGTTTTTAAAGAGCCACAAAATTTTTTCTTGCCAACAATAAATAGTACTCGCATAAATAAAGTTTTTTGATATAAAAAACTAATCTATTTATTCATAAGAAAAAATATCTATTTATTCATATATAAGTAGTGTTTTTCACAATAAATTAGATAATAGAAACATCTGACAACGGCGTCATTCGAGAGCTTCTTACGAACTGACGACAGTGAGACGCGTGTCACGGGGGAGGGGTGCGGTGAAAAGCGAGTACTAGTGGCTGAGAGGTAGAATCGGTGCCTAATCCTCGTTAATCGATTCAGAACGATTTTTAAATGTTTTTTTTT